CTAGATGTAAATTTAGGTTTTTCAGAAACGTCAGTCTAGTTGGACCGATAATGATTATTCGTGGTTACATTACAAGAATGGTTTCGGCACTATGTGTGATTTCTGGCTAGGGAACGAACTAATCCATCAGATAACGGCATCTGGAGAGTACAGCCTTCGACTGGATATGACTACGACAAATGGTGACGTTTACTTTGCAACATACTCATCGTTTACCGTCAATGGAGAGAGTGACAAGTACATATTGGAACTTGGAACTCTAATAGACGGCAATGCTGGTAAGCATTATTTTACTATCAGTATCCCATTTAGTTTAATTGTAGACTCCGCCATAAGTTTTCCTGCACCAAGGGCAATACGAACAGGTCCTCAACTCAATAGCTTAAAATTTAATGTGAGGCACAGATTTTAAATGTGGGCTAGTCAGATCATTGCTTTTCCTTTGCAGATTAATTTTTTTTTTTATGGATAATGAGCTAAGGCAATTCCAAAAAAAAAAGAATTATTTAGGCCTATTGTTTGTTGTAATAATAATACAAAAAAACGTTTCTGCGTAGCAACCCTTGATTTAAAAATCAATAAATTTACACAATTTGCTCATAATAACTCAATTAGATTATATTCAACAAGAACCCAGGTATGAGAGAGTAGCTAGCACTGGTTTAGCGGGGCAGCTCAGACACCAAGTGAAGGGTGATGAAGGAAATTGCTATGCTACTAAGTTTACCTCGAGCGCTTTGAGACTTCATATAAAGCGCCCCCTGTACATTTGAATACAGTACCGTACAGTACTTATTTATGTTCACTGATGGAATGCGACGAACCGTACCTGCATTAACAAGTGACAACATTCCATCCCACACCCAAATTGGGGTACCAGGTGGAAAGGGGAAAAATGGAAGATATTTCTGGTTCATAGTCCTATCACAGAAAACCCAAATGTAAATAATGCTTTTGGAAAAGTTTTTTTCCAAACAGTTATAAATTACTACATACTTTGATACTTGATTGCTTGAACCTTTATTCCTAAAATCAGGTATAAAATAAATTTATTTGAAGTGAAGCACACGCCTGGCTGTAGTAAACTCAATTGATGGATTTCTCATAAGAAAACGAAAAAATCCGTAAAACATTTAGAAGAAAATTAAGAACATGCAAGAAGCTGAAAATTAATATTTGAAACAAGATAAAATTTTATAATCTGAATGCAGGCTAAATATTTATGTAGGCCTATATAACAATACCAATATGATTGAGAACATTAATTAAGGTTAACTTATTCAATTCTATTCAATTGTTTTATTACCTCAGGGGATGTACTTTCACTTGCACGTGGTAGAGATTTCTCAACCTACGATAGAGACAATGATGATCATAATACTAAGAATTGCGCTATGGATTCTGGTGGTTGGTGGTATTCAGACTGCTTTAAATGCTCGTTAAATGGCTTTTTATTAGCCTTCAAGTGCGCAATTAATGATGCGTATCCCAAGCTGCCGTTGAGTCATTCGGAGATGAAGATGAAGAGGCAGTAAGTCGTTTTCTCTTTTGAGGAAACTTGTAATAAAAACAAATTGTAGAATTTTCAAGTGAGTTTAACAATTAGTGTTTAAGATGAAGTACTCATGGAAATTATGTTTAACGATATAGCTCTATTATATTTATTATTTGTAATGTTAATGTGGTGAAGACTATTATATTGAATAGAAACAAATCGAGTACATTATACAATTAGCAAGTCAGACCTTAGATTAATCAACGGCTATATACTATAATAGAATACACAATAGAATATTTTTCTATTGTGAAACTGATAATTATTCATATAATATATTATATATATATATATTATATATATATATATATATATATATATTAATATTATATGTAGTGTTGTCTAAAAGAAATAGGATGTTAGGCTTAATTTATAGAACATGTTTTAAATCTTATGACCAGATATCGACACTAAAAATGTTAAATTTTGCACTGGAGAACTCAAATCTTGAATTTCGTGGTCACGTTTGCTCTCCTTCAAAAATAGATGAAATAAAAATTAATCTAATAAATACAAAGACGGGCTACGAAAAATGATATGTAGGCCCTGACCTGATGAAATCCGAACTGCCTATCCCGCCAGGACTAGAAAACTGAAGGAATATAAGTGATCCTACTCTTTTTTACATGATATGGGAAAGAATAGGCCTAATTTATTTTGATATTAATACTTGTTTCTCGTCTTATTCACCGTTTAAATGCATACCGCGTCACTCAAGCCGCCAATAACTTGGCTAATCTATACCAAACTCGCGCATAAATAAATTAAATAAAAAAATATATATATATATATATTATATATATATATATATATATTTAAATGCTGTACACCTGATGAAGGCCTATGGCCGAAAACGTTTGTGCATCTTCTGTATTAAAATTTGGCAAATATATACCTTGTTCCTGAGTTTTATTTGATATATATCTACACTTTGCAAGCTACTTCTGATTTTCCTATATATATA